GCTCTGGGTTTTGAGGGCTATTTTGGTTTGTCGCCCCTTCAGGAGGGGAAGCTGCCGTTTCGTCTCCAAAAAGAACAGGTGGTTAATCAATTACATGTTATCTCCAACTGCTGCAGCCCGTCGGACCCAGACAGACCAGACTGACACCCAGGTGCACAAATGGACAGACGTCGACGGGCAGATCGACAGGCCGACAGTCAAGAGACGCGGCGGCCTGACATCAACACATGTAAGACGGTCCGGCAGGTGTGTAGGTGGGGGCAGCGGGCCCACAAAACGGCACGACACTCACAGGGCCGCATGTCTGTAGATAGCGCCCACCCGCCAGCCCTTGAAACATTTTAATCATTTGACGGCCAATTACTCTGGAGCCAGGCAGAGCAGGAACTCACACCCAACTTGCTCGACACTCGCAGATGGCCCCGCAGGCTGGATCCGCGCTGCCTGTCTCCACTCTAACCCGTCTACTCAGCTATAGCACTGCTCCCTTCTGATGTGGGTCAAACAGCAATGAAATAAGGGTGTTAGGTGAGGCTTCAGAGGAAGAGAGAGCGGGGGGGATATCCAAGATTTGTTGAAAATCATAAGAAAGTGATATGACGTACCCTCCCTCCTCCTCCGTTAATTAAAACATCGAAGAACAGAAATAAATACTGTGTACTATACTTAAACAAGTACAGAGAGAAACAGGTGCACACTGCCCTCCACAACATATACTAATGCTCATGTACCTATTCAGTGATCAACTGGCAAACTCATGGTCTGAATGGGGAAGCCAATGAGGAAGTCCCTTAAACCTGCATTCTTTCTACTTGCAAAAAGAAGTCTGATTGTATAGATGTCTATGAGAAAATGGCCCTACTTCTCAGAGTTTATGGACTAAATCGTTATTTTCAAGTCTTCAATACAGCATGATGTACATTTGGTAAATGATGGTCCATTTAGAGTCAAATAGACCATAAAGCAGGGTATGCTTTAGGGCGGGTCTACCTTGTGATTGACAGGTCGCTACCATGGCGTCGTCCGCCCACTTTTAAGCTGTGCACATTGCCGTCAATATCAACCATCTCTGCTTGTATCTCCCTCAGCAACACGTTGTTACGCTGCAGCCCTGTCTTCTCTGTGAAGAGGTCTTGGGGTTTGGTTTGAACAGCTGGGTTCGATCTTGTGGTTTCCCCCGACACCGTCAGAAAAATCAAAACACTTTCAGAGTGCTTTGATGGCTTGAGATTCCACGAAATGCTGTCATTGCATGACTGGCAACTGAACACAACAGATTGACTTCTGAAGTCAAGCACGGCACGCTGCATGTCAAAGTCACTCTCTCAGTACTATTCAGCTTTCACACTACTTGATTATTATTTGCCTCGCGCTTGACACTTGTAATGCTCGAGTAGGCAGCAATTGAAATAACAACAAAAGTACTTTAATGTCACACTTTTTTGCCAAAATCTGGATTTAAGAGTCCAACATTCTTCGTCTGTAAACTTGAAAGGTGGCTGTTGAATGTTTGCTTGAATATTTGTATGGATTCCAATCATTTTCAATGACGAAAAAACATTCACGGAAACTGTTTGCTGCACAATCTGGTACTCTGCTGCCCATCTGCCTGTTCATTCTGTTCACAATACTCACATTTTTACCAAAGTACTTCAAAATATATCACAATACAACATACTACTTGTATCTGTAGATCATGCATAGAGCGGCTCCTGCTTGCAGGGAAACCTGGCAACAAACATAAGAACATAATAACGAATCAAACACTATGAAAGTTTTTTAATTCTTGGAATTCATTGTAATTGACATGAGTGCAACTTTCAACTGAGCACAGCAAATATTTAAGCCTCTAGACCAGGGGTCTCAAACTCAAGGCCCACGGGCCGAATCCGGCCCGCCACGTCATTTTATGTGGCCCGCAAATCCGCCAGCAAAAAAAAAAATAAAGTTATAAAAAAAAAAAAAAAAAAAAAAAAAAAAAATTATGAGAATTATGAGATACTTAAACACAGTCATAGAAGCAGCTCTTTGGCTGGTTACTGTACATTTGACATGAAATGTATTCTGAGTACATTGAAGACTACTTTAAACGTGGCTTTACAACAGATGAAATACTTCACGTGGGATTGTGCAAACGCACCCTTGAAAGTATTTTAAGCATTGAACAAAGTTATTGTAATAACTTGTGTTTGATATTTCTCTTTGATATTTTCTTTAATAGTTAGATCTTTGATAGAGTAATGTGGGTTTCTTAACCCTAAATTAAAAGAATTTAAGTTATAATAACAGAAATGTGCTTAAATATATTTTTACATTTATATACCTGCATGTACAATATTTTTACACTTGAATAAACAATAATCAAATGCAGAGACAGTTATTTACCAATATGTTAGGAGTAGTTACATTTACAACCGGCCCTTTGTGGGCAACCGTAATGCTGATGTGGCCCGGAGTAAAAATGAGTTTGAGACCCCTGGTCTAGAGTCTAGACTACTTAATGCTGAGACTAAATAAAGTCTACCACTTTAAATCTGCAGGAAAATATCCACTTGCAATGGATGGAAAGAGTTGGGTTTAAAAGATGGGTTACACTTGTAGAGAAGCACTGCATGGATGATAACAGGCAGAGTTGAGAACTGCAAATCACGACATCCATCATATAATCTATTGCTGTGAAAGTCTTCACGCAGCTGTGGTAACATGATGTCTAGGTGCTTGACTACAAGGTCTGCTAGAGCCACACTGAATGAAGGCTGCTTGAGTGTCCACACACCCATTCTAACACGATACGGCGACTGTGGCTAAGTGGATAGCAGGGCCGTCCTTCAATCAGAGGATCGGCTGTTCGATCCCCAGCTCCATTAGTCGCATGTCGATGTGTCCTTGAGCAAGACACTTAACCCCAAAATTGCTCCCGTAGCTGTGCCTACGGTGTAGAAATGTGATAGAATCTGAATTGTAAGTCGCTTTGGATAAAAGAGTCTGCTAAATGACTGTAATGTAATCTAACACTGAGAAACCACTCTGACCCTTTTCTTTCTCCATTTACATACCTCTCTCCAACTCTGTGACCTTGCATCACAGGCAGACATTAGCATAAATGCCTTGTGTAACCCTGGTTCCACTATGATATTTACTCTCCTGGTATGAATATGAGGAAAGACTGATAACATCATAACGCCGTACATTTCTCTCTTTTCTACGGTGCTTTTTATGCGTCAGGCTCTCTTTGACAGGACATCCATCACAATTTCTGAGCCGTGCCCAGAGCCCAAACACTCCATGTTATGGAGGCGTGAGCTGCTCTGCACTCTGACCAGCTCAAACGCTGCGTAACTCGGTCCGTCTCACAGGTCGTCGGCCCCACAGAGTCTGCGTGCTTAAGCCGGTGTTCTAACTTAAAGTTACGACAAGGAACTTTCATTTTATGTTGATTTTGGAGGTCCCCGTGGACGAAATACATCTGAAATTGCGTGGAGTTCGACCTGGTTGCACTGCTGACAAGCATTCAAAATAATCAATATAAAAAGCAAATCTTCTCTACGATGGTCTTGTTTACTGATGTAGGTCATATAGAGGCATCTGTATTACATTTCCAAACCAGTTAAAAGCAACCACGGAAAAGTCTGCCTCAGTGTGTGTGTATAGCCAGTAAGAAGGTTTGAATCATAACCTGTGAGTTCAAAGCCCAAAAAACAGCACAATGATTTTTTTTTAGCAGATTTTACTGTAGGAAGCCTTCACGGCAGCAATCATTCCTCCTACTCCACTACTGCAAGGCAAACAGTAGCATTATGTCATTAGCATTATGAAGTAAAACACCAGGAATGTGCACTTGAACATATACGTAGGGCAATGAAGTGTGGAGCTATATGATGTCAAATATCAAGGCGGTTTCCATTTTTTCAGCCCCTCACTGTTTTCTTTGACGGGAGCCCTGTGGAAAGCAGCAGTCTCGTTGACATGAAAGCTTCATCTTTTTGACACAGCACCTTTGTCGGCCTGAACACGGCCCTAATGACTCCCTCTGTCAATCTGTTAACCCTTTCATTTGACCGTTAGAAGCGGTCTTCTTCTTGTTGGCATGAGAAGACAGTAATAGATACTTTGGTTTGAGCGAATGAGGCAGATGAAGCAGCCTTTGGGTGTTCCCTGTAACAGAGCACAGGGCTCAGAGGGAACTCAGCCGTGTTTATCCCTCCGGTTGTCTAGATCTTCCCTCCAACTGATGATGAGGCTCTGGGGTACGTGCTGCTTTAATGGGAATACTGCATATTTCACGTCCTTCCTTTTCCCGTGCTTTTCCCTTCTTCTTTACTCCCCTTTTCTCTTTTCCTATACGTGCCCTCGTCCACGCTCTGTTTGTGTGTGCGCCTCCTTCCTGCTCACCTCTGGAACAGCGTTTTCACCACGAGGGGTTCGTTGACAGCTCTCCTCTCCCTCTCATAGCCTGTACAGGCTGTCGGCACTATCTCACAGCGAGGACCCAGCCTTTTTACACCTTACCGCTATCAACAGTGGGGCCAGCTGCGAGTAACGCCCGCTGCTTTCGGCTTATCTTTAAAGCCCAACCATTTGGATCACACCGACCACCAGGCGACGGAGGCGTCATTTAAAAATGCATCTGTCGCCAGACCAACGTCATTAGCTCTACATATCAAACACGAGCCTCCCCTCGTTCAAAATCCCATCATTTGGCCGTTTGACACAGCCATTGAAGGCACAGACAAACGTGGAAAACAATGAGGTGATACCGCACACCACTGTGGCACTTGTTAAATGGATGAGGTCTACTGATTCTCCATCAATACCAAGCAATACAAACATCAAGAGAGAAGTTTAAATAATAGAAGGTTCAGCACACACAAAGTCAGATTTTATTGTTCAGGTAAGTTTAAAATCATGTATGTTCAGGCGTGACCTTTAACATAAGCTGAATTATGCTTGTGTGAAACACTTTACACCAGCAGCAGCATATTAATTATGTGTGGGTTTACCTGGAGGCAGGCGGGCGCTCGGCCATGAGGTTTGTTGACGTCCACAGCTACGAGCTGCCACCCCCCAGCAGCGTCTTCATGGAACATCTGTGGCACAAGGACAGCACATGAGGGACTGAAACACACACACAACACCACCCCCCCCCCCCCCACACAAAAAAAAAAAAAACCTGCACACCATTCGAGGGACTGGCCGGAACTCATACGTACACATCCACCCTTGGGCTACATCTTCAGAAAACATCTGTGGCCACAAAAAAAAGGCTGCTAAATACAGTATGTGGGCCATCGCCAGAAATAAAAACAAACAAGTGTCACAGCAGAGACTGTCAGACTCACAAGACAGGCTGGTTCACTCACGAATATCATTCTCCTTGAAGACGAAGACAACATCTTAGCAATAAGCATGATCGTGACAACTGGATCCAAAATGCCATGTCATTCATCTCATACTCTGTTAACTTGGCAGATGAGTATCAGTTAGTTGCCTAACTTTGCCGTAAGGACTGAATCTTCTCAACCATGTAACACAATGAGAACAGTCTACACCGCTGTGCGAGGGGCTCAGTGAGAGTGGTGCCATGAGCTGAACGCTAATATCGGCACACTAACACTCAAAATTGACAGTGACAACATTGAACTACATACTTATCATCTTCACCATCTTAGTTTAGCATGTTAGCATGCTAGCATTTGCAACTGGCACAAAATGATTAGGTATGGTATTTTGTCATAAATTAAGGCATTGGTTGAATTTCATCCATTCCATCAAACATCTGTTGAAACGTTTCATTCAAAGTAACATGTCAACCTCATGGTGGGATTCTCCAAACCATTAATATTCATCCTCTGGGGATCACGAACGTCTGTACAAAATTGTGTGCCAATCTGTACAGTAGATGTTGACATATTTTACCAGAAGAGTAAAAATTTTGACCTGCCCTAAAGGAAAAGTCAGGGGATATGAGGTCAGTAGGATCCATCCTTTGAGGACAATGAATGTCTGTACAAAATGGCAATCCATCCAATATTTGTTAAGATATTTCAGTCTGGACCAAAGTGGAGGATCGACCAACCTGACAGCAAGCTGACAGACCCACATACCACTAGCATGGCTAAAACCAACTAATCTAAAAAAGCAACATTACTGTTGAAATCCATATAATCCAGATTTTACTGAATAGTCTAATACCGATGCTATATTCTATGAATGGGTTGTTAGAAGCCACAGAGCAGAACTTTTTTGCATGAATGGTCTTTTAATTTGAATTGACAAACTGGCGAGAACGACATCCATGAAACTGAGAACTAAGTCAAATTTGAAGGTTGTTGAAGTTTAAAAAAACAAACAAATTCTTCAGTCATCCGGCCCCATTCGTCAATCTACTCTTTAATTACATTCTGTACCCCCCCCCCCCCCGTTTCAGCGACGTCTTAAAGCTGTCCCATCGGCTTCATGATTTATCACAGCCTGGCAAGACTGTGGTGCCCCAATCTATAGCTTTTATCATCTTGCATTTAGTTCAACATGGCAAAGAGTATACATCCTACAAGCTCGATGCCAAACACACAGGGTTGGTATAATTCAACTTCAGTAAAGCCAAATTAGACTTCAATGTAATTCAACTTCAAGTTCAGCCCTTAATTACAACTCCACTCATTTAAATATGGGACAAAAAAACAGATCCTATGGAACAAAAGTGGATTCATCCATTGTTATTTCATCAACAAATTACAGCCTAATCTCTATTAAAAGACCCAATAACCTGGCAAAATCAAGGAATGGGGATTGTGGCATGGGTTGTGTCTCCCAGGGCCACCAGCCTTCCTCTCTCAGGAGCATGAGGAAGGCAGCTTATTGTTTCAGACTCTGTGATTGACAGTTAAGTGTTACGCCACAGCTAATTAGTTGTCCCCCCTCTAAGATGAAGATTGGGGCATGACGATGTGATAACAATTAATTTGGATAATGGAAAGAAAGGCTAATTGTTTTCAAGGTCGTGGCGGTATAATCATGATCGAAAGAACATTCTCGAAAGGTTCTCGTGTCATGACTTTCCGAGATGTATCATTTTTAATAAAGAACAGTACTGAAAACAGTTCAGTGCTTGACAGGCCAACTTCATTATAATGAAATAAACATTGTTTAAAAGGGGATTTGGATTCTTAACTAATCCAATCCAAATGTATAATTTCAGATGTGCTTTAGTGAAAGTGAACTATAGCTTCTCTTTTCAATCAAAATATCTGCTAAATACAAATGCATATCCATGCATCTATCCACAATATTCATTATTAGGGCCCGAGCTACCGACGTCGGGCCGCGAAGGCCCTATTGAAACTGTAAGGATTATATATATTATTAGGGCCCGAGCTACCGACAACGTCGGGCCGCGAAGGCCCTATTGAAATTGTAAGGGGTATTGTTATTATTAGGGCCCGAGCAACCGACAACGTCGGGCCTGCGAAGGCCCTATTGAAACTGTAGGCATCCGTTATTTTTTGTGATTCTTATTTTTGTACTTTGGGAGCATTTTGGGGATACTTGCCATGCATGAAAACTCACCAAATTTTGGGGACTTGTCAGGTCTGGGTGAACTTAGCGTCTGAAAAAGGATGCATCTTTCCATGTAAAAAAATGGCTCTCTAACGCCCCCTACAAGTCGGACCGGTGACGCCCCTCGGCCAGTAGGTCCGATTGACTTACAATTCAGCACACATGTCCACTTGAAGTAGATCTACAAAAAAGCCTCTCAGACCCCTAAGCTCCGCCTACTTAGATTTTCCGCCATATTGAATTTAGTGAAAAACACATTTTTGCAAGCTCCTCCTACAGACAGGGTCCAATTGCTACCAAATCGTCGGTGGATCATTATTGTTTCTAGATCATCAATAGTTATCAAAAGCTTTTTGATAGCTCTTAGCGTGTACAAGATATGGACCAATGAACTTCTTAGGGGCGTGGCTTAATATCAATACATATAACTTCTCAACCGTTTGTCCTAAAATTACCAGATTTTCAGCATATGTGCACATTGCATCCTCTAACATACCCTGAGATTTATTTTGCATTCAACAACTAAGGGGCGATACAGTAAACCCTCGAAGTTGTGCTTTTTGTCACTTTTTGCAGATTTCAGCCTTCGCACTTTGACGAACTCCTCCTACAGATTTTAAGTGATCAACTTCTCCTTTGGTCAGGATGCTCTTAAGACCTCTGTGATTAAAAGTTATCAAAATCAAGAGTTTTCATCAAAGAACCTTGACGTGGCGTGGCGGCTATTTTGCCTCATTGTTTATGAAAAAATAAGTTCTTATAAGTTGTTATAACTCCAAGGTACATTATCCAATCCGCACAGAACTTCTTATGCATGATGCTACTTCAAGCCTAAACATGCTTCAATTGAAAAAAATTCAATAACTCTTTAGGGCCGCCTACTGGCTAAAGGAAATGTCATATTCTATACTTTTATGTATACCTCCTAGCTAGGTGACTTGATGAGTCTCAAATTTGTTAACGATAGCCTTAAGACATTGAAGATGCATCATCATGAATATTGTGAGTTTTTGTTGAACGCTGTTGCCGTGGCGACGCATTGTTCGCCATGAAAAAGGAAGCTGATGGTTTAGTGGGTTGGGATGCTCAAAAACTCATGGAACTTTGTACATGTGTCATAGGTCATAGGCAGACATAGTGTATATGGGTTTTGGGCTTGGCCGTTTTAAATTGCCTCTATAGCGCCCCCTACAATATTTCAAAATAGCAGCCCCAGCACTACGTTTCAGCTGCATGTATGAAACGTGGTAGTCACATGTATCCTATGGGGACTTAAAAATAAGTCTCTTTGGACCATGCTCTAAACCCTACCGGAAGTCGGCCATTTTGATTTTTGTGTCATTTTTCCATAAATTTTGGCCTATTTTTAGTCGTTATACTTTAACGAACTCCTCCTAGGGTCTTCATCAGATCCACTTTAAATTTTGTCAGTACAATCTTAAGACCATTGTGATTAAAAGTTATCAAAAGCTTTACGTTTGACGGAATGGCTTAGCCGTAGCGGGTGGCTACTTTATGTGATTCCCCATGAAAAAAGCTGATGTAACTCAGCTGGACTTGTTCCAAACGGTCCCAAACTTCTCATGCTTGATAACACTCATGGACTGAGGATGTCTCCAAGCTAATTTTCACTAGTACTCACAGCGCCACCTGCTGGTCAATGGAAATCTGCACTTTGTGATAAACACCATCCGATTTACGTGACTTTTACACAATGTGGTTTACACTCGACATAGAGCAACATAATGCAGGTTTGCATGCGCTCTGTAGTGCCAGGCAGCGGATACAGGAAGCATCGGACTATTTGTAAAGCATCATTTCCAACATCAGGCGGTCCACGCGGGATTAAAAACGTCTCGCTCGCGGACGCGCCGTCCAACGGTCGCGGATGTTCTCGGACGCGCAGGCCGGAGTCCCGCCGGCACCCCCGACGCGCTGGAGGATGCGAGGGCCCTTTCATCGCTGCTCGCAGCTTTAATTTATTGTTGCATTTTAATTGACTGCTGCTATATATACTCAACACCTTATGTAGCGTTCTATATTTTCTGTGAATTTTTCTAAAACAGGTAACATCTCTGATTTTCTGCCTCTTCATCGTCAGTTTTCACTTGTAATGTAATCATAAAACAAACCTTTAACAGATCACTTCTCCCACTCCCTTGATTTTCCCTGCTTCAAACCCTAACCCCCAACCCTGTAGGTCAACCCATATCAGCCTACTGTTAGCTTGGAGGACGCAATCAAATGCCTGTTGCTTCAAGAAAGAAATGAGCATTAATCAAAGCCCCGATCATACCGGAGAGACGATTTTAAAGACAGCTAAATGTTTTAACTTCTGAACTGAACACTGTCTGGACTGAATGATGTGAGAAATATATACGGGCATAGAATTAAACCCCCAAAAACTGTCAAACATATTTTATCATCATTACTTTTCCCTCACCCAAATCCCTTCTTTATGACCTTGAATGTATTTTCAGGCCATAACGACTGTCAGTATTCCCTATTCTCTCTCTCTAGTGTATATCCATCTATGGCCTGATCTCATGACAAGTCATTTACTTTTCAACATTCCTATCTGACCAAATACAATGTTGTAAAAAGTAGTTGCTTCTTCAAAATAAATCTGATGAATCTCTTTGAAGACAAATGTCTTTCATAGTATTTGCCAAAGTTGCTCATGTAAACTCTGGGGTTGTTACTCGCTTAGTGGTTCATGTTGATTTATTAACAGTCTAACATTTGCAATCTTATCTATCTTGTTTTATCAAATTATTTGGAAGTGGCTTTTTGTGCCTTAATTAAATAGCAATAGAGGAGAGATGACAGGAAATGAGGGAGAAAGATGCAAAAAAGATATCCAGCCGGATCGAAGCCAGGTATATTGCGGTTCATGGTCTTAAAAAGGACGCAGATAAACTAATGCAAAGTCTTTTTGAAGTAACTAAATCGCCACTGTTACAAAAGTGAATCGTATAAGGCCGCATGAGGCTGGGTAAAATAAGGCTAAGCCAGGTAGCACAGGTGTCCACAGCCATATCCTCTAGTATGTTCTGTTCTTCTTCCAGTTTGACATGCCCAGCATACCTCCAAAGGGTCGTGTCTAGGAAGCGTCCTGATCATATGCCCCAGACTACCTGAGAGGGTTCCTTTTAATGACAAGGAGAAGCGATTCTTCTCCAAACTCTTTCAGGAGAACCAACCTCCCTACCAAGGCCCTCGGGGAGACACCAGACGTCCTGTGATACAAACCATTTCCAGCCACTTGCCCTATTGATCACATGAATTTAGTCAACCTCCCAAACCTCTTGCCCTTTGGAACATACACTGACTGGTAAATCAAGAGCTTACCCTTCAGGCTCAGCTCGCTCTTTACCGTGACAGCTTGGTACTGTTGGCGATGCACTAATCTGCTTGTCGGTCTTTTGCCTTTGGTTTTTCATATCTTACTTGAGAACAAAACCCTGTGACTGTAACTCCTTCACTCATGTAAGTAACTTGCTTCCAGCCAAAGGAGGGCAATCCACCATTTACAGACAGAATACCACGGGCCTCAGAGTTGGAGGTGTCAACTCTAAATCACAACTATTTCAAACTAAGCAGATGGTAATGGTCTGATGAAGCCAGCGGAATTTACAGATGCAAGCCTGTAGTCGCCAAAGCAGACACTCTCTACCCGCTAGCATCAAAACAGACATGTGTAGCACCCTTCGGCTGCCAATTCTAACGGAAGTGGAGGCATTTATTGATGACTGTGCACTCTCGTAACCCTGAAGAAAGCCATTCCTGTCAAAATGCGTTCGGGCTCATTCCTTTGATTCTTGAATTCATGCAACTTTGATGAGCTGAACTCTGATGAATGGACAGTTTCTTTTTTTGTTTTTTATTCGCACTCTGTCCCAAGATGACCAGCTTTAAAGAAAGCCGGAGTTGAAGGAAATGTTTAGAATCAGGTCAGATTAAGGAGCCACATAAAGTCGAGTGTGATCGTTGTACCTGTGTTGTAGCCGTGGAGGTGGTACTGCTCCTTGACCCCCACATCTGCTGAAATTGCACTCTTATCTCGGCAAATGTCTCGATGATGACTGCAATGAACACGTTCTGTGAAGGGGAGACAGAGAGGGAGTGAAACAAAGACGGTGAGAGAGGTAGGGGCGATTCAAAATAAAATGGCAAAGGGCAGGTCCGTCTCCCGACTTCCTTTAACCATCTGTGACGGGATATTCCTTCTATTAGCCAGAGAACATTCCACTAACAAGGGGAAATGGTTGGGTCTGCAGGTGAAAGATTAGGTTATGTCAATTAACCGAAACCTTTCGGTGTTCAGCTCTCCCATGCTTCCGCGCCATGGGAGCCGAAAGCATTATGAAAAGTGCAGTGTAGAGAGAGACTGGCTCTAACCTTGACAAGCCATGCCAAGAAGAAAATGAGAGTTATGAAGTAGAAGTACGAGCGCCAGCGTGGGAAACTGTCGATGGCTCTGTACATGAGGAACACCCAACCCTCCTGTGACGCCGCCTCATACACGGTAAAGATGCTCGTACCTAAAAACAAAGACAGACAGAGGAGGCGGAGAGGTGTACAGTCAGATGAAAAGCAGAGATTGTTATTGAAATAAGTGTCAGTGTCGGCCTTTCGCTTAACGCGGTGATGTCTGTGAGCTTCGCTCCAATTATCATGGCTCCCCTCAAACTAAGCCTTTCAGACAACACCTTGAGTTTCTATATAATGAAAGTAGGCTCTGATAGCCCGTGAAAAACACAGAACGCCGGTATCCTCCCTTCTTTATAATGACAACACTTTAAGTTCCAACTCAGACAGACACAGGCTCATTAATCCGATGAGATTATCTTTAACGCACGTCAGCAACTAATCTGGTCCGATGTAGTTTATTAACCTAAATTCTGTGAGTTTCTTTTGTCTCTGTCGAAATGTGTTTTTACAACAATCGGTGAGTTAAAGTGACTGTTTCTGTCAATGCAGTCTGGTAGCTTTGAGGAGAGCATATAACTTCTGTTTCTTTTCAAGTCAACTCGACGAATTATGGCTTTACTTCGACCAAACCAGAGTTGGTGATAGTTGGAACAGTGTAAAGACTAACAAAGACGGCTTTTGATTTGTTTTATTTAGTTTGAATGAAGGCTGTTTCCATGATCAGCGAGGTAAAATGACTGGATATCTATCTGGTGGCTTTGAGTAGAGCTTCATTTTTGAATAATTATAATAACTGTCCAAATCCCTGTTGGTTATATATTATATATTCACTTCAACATACGTCACAGCATTGCGAGAAGTAGGGCATCCAACCTGGAATCAAATTTCCATCACTGACAATAAATACTGATTGTAACCTTTCCCTCAAAAGACAAAAGCCAGATGTTAGTGGTTGTTATTGGGGTGTTTGTCCAGTGGGAAAGGGGCTTTAGTGTATCTTTATGAACTATTTATTCCCTCTGCATGGGTGTGAAAAAAAATAGTACATCTTTATCCTCAATAAACTCTTTTAGGAGGTGAGAACCATTCCTAAAAATAGGATCGCACATAATAATAAAGTCAGGGTTTTTATACAAGGCACTTAAGCGTCACAGTAAAAGCTACATTAATATTCATAAAGTGTGTCGATAGACCAGAAGGTTTAGGCTGTAAATTGCACTGAATGCTTCACGTTCCAGTCTGTAATGTCTGAATCAAGGTGAGGTTTATTGTGAAGCTCTCCCTCTCCTTCACGGCTATCTACAGATTAGGGGCGCTGCACTGTGCACCGACACTGGAACTGAGCGCCGTTCAGCTGATAAGAATGCAGGACGCTGCCGTATGGCACTGCTTCACACCGGTAGCTGGTATGTGCAGCACTTCAGTTCTCGCTTTCTCACACTGGGTCATTCTGCCACAGAATATACAATACCTTTTAATTGGGACAAAAACAGTGAAAACAAAAGCTTTTATTTATGTGAATTACTTCACGGACGTTTAGTCCTTATCAGACAGTGTTTGAATGCATTAAACGTGTTAAGTGTGCAGCTCGTACCTAGTTCATTGAAGCCACTATAGCCGAGCTCCTGTCGGCTGAGGCCCAGCTCCTCCAGGTCCATGCATTTGAAGCCATGAGGGCACTGGTAGCCCTCCCCATCAGGGGAACAATGGGTGTCTGGGATGGCCAAGCTGTTCCATGTCACATTACTGACAAAAAGGTTAAAAAAACAAAACAAACTGTTATTAAAGAGAAGTGTGCAATGTGTGGTAAATGGAATCAGTATCATGAAAAGAGAAGGTACAAGTATCAATTGTCATTCTAAGATTTGACGGCTATAATGTGCTCTGTAATGAAACCAGGGAGTTTATAAGTCAAATATTTATGCTTTCTGACACTGGGCAGCACATTTCGCTCCAGAATGCCTTGGTAGTCTTGAGATTTCATTGTACCCTGCACTGATTCAAGACACCCTGTGCCAGATGCTGTAAAGCAGCCCCAGAACATAACAGAGCCTCCTCCATGTTTCACAGTAGGTAGGTGCTTCATTTTTGCGTGTGTAAGCTGATGTGACTTGCCAAAAAGCTCCAGTTTTGAAACTGGAATTTGCCAAAATGCATATTGACAAGCCACAAAGCTTCTGGGAGAATGTCCTTTGGACAGATGAGACAAAACTGGGGCTTTTTGGCTCATCAGCTCTATGTTCACAGACGCAAAAATTAAGCATACAAAAAAAGAACACTGTACCGACTGTGAAACATGGAGGAGGCTCGGTTATGTTCTGGGGCTGCTTTGCTGCATCTGGCACAGGGTGTCTTGAATCAGCGCAGGGTACAATGAAATCTCAAGACTACCAAGGCATTCTGGAGCGAAATGTGCTGCCCAGTGTCAGAAAGCTTGGTCTTAGTTGCAGGTCATGGGTCCTCCAACAGGATAATGACCCAAAACACAGCTAAAAACACCCAAGACACACTTTATGAATAAGAGCAAACCATTGGACTATTCTGAAGTGGCCTTCTATGAGCCCTGATGTAAATCCTACTGAACATCTGTGGAAGGAGCTGAAACATGCAGTCTGGAGAAGGCAGCCTTCAAACCTGAGACAGCTGGAGCAGTTTGCTCACAAGGACTTGGCCAAAAGACCTGCTGACAGGTGCAGAAGTCTCATTGAGTTACAGAAATCGCTTGATTGCAGTGATTGCCTCAAATTGTTGTGCAACAAAATATTTTGCTAAGGGTACCATCATTTTTATCCAGGCCATTTTCATTAGTTTGTTTCTTTAAATGATTCTGTTGAACCACAATTCAAAAGCAATGTCTGATTTGTATTAGTTCATTTTCAGTACATTTTTATTCATTGTTACTTTTGTCAGTTTCAAGTTATTTCAGTGACCATTGTGGGTTTTTCTTTCTTTAACGGAAGGGTACCAACAATTTTGTCCACGCGTGTATACACACGCACGCACGCACACACACACACACACACACACACACACGCACACACACACACACACGCACGCACACACACACACACACACACTTTTAGCCACAGGTGTTGTTCCCGGAGCTGCTTGATTACTCTAATGAAAATGAATGCCTTAAAATTGGCTGCCCAGACATTCGTCCAAATTGTTTATTAGAGTTACAGGATTAGAAGGGATAATATATTGCGCTATCACAAAGGGCAATCAGAGGCTGGGTGATGAATCCGATAGAGCTTATTACGCCGGGGCGGACTGTATCTTATCAAATGAATCACGTTTCTTGGCGACAAAGAGGAGATAAATGAAGCCTCGGATGAGAGACCAAATGTCCAGCAGTAACGCAATATCAATAATTCGGTGAGTCAAATGAAAAACAAACCGTCTTTGTGACAAAAGATTATTCAGGTTTGGTTTTTGATCAAACCAAAACTAATTTGTAATGCTTTGCATAATTGGAAAATGTGAGGTCCTGTCAACAAGCTCTTGTTGACACATAATCCACTGTATCAGTGGGTTTAGCATGGGATATGCTGATAATACATTTTCTCCCATACAATTTAAAAACAGTGTAGTGTTTTTTTATGTCACATTATTTAATTTATTTCCCTCTGAAATGTTAATTTTACATAAATTGTTTCAAAATATCAAATCAAGAATAAAACACACAAACCACAATTGCCCTCTTCTGTAGATCCAACTCACACTGAACAAACCTGTGCATGTCATTCATTCCATGGAGTTAAATAGCGACGAGTTCGATTGCAAAAATCCTGACATCGACAAAAGAGGACCCCACTTTGTTCACAAATCCAAAACCCTTTCATCTAACATCCATATCAGAAAATGTCCCCCCTGATGCTTTCCCCCCCAATTCCCATCAAATCCCCTGTGTTTGAAAAGCTAGGGAGCTTTGACTTTGTGCCAAAGGCATATGGCAGATAGAGATTAGACACATCAGTCCTTGTGTGACATATTTCTAAAATATCCCAATAGGAGCATATGTATGTGAGGGATTTAGGGAAAGGAGCACAGCAGCAAACAAATTTCATGTGCAGCTGCCATGCCACACTTTTGGAATAATATTACAAAGGGACGTCAGCTATAAATGTGACAACGTCTTCTGCTATCTTTCCTGATACTGATGGTCAATGCATGCCGTGTCCCTATAGGGCGCACAAGATATGTGACGGGAGGTAGATGGGTAGCCGTTAAGCAGGACAATGAAGGAATTTATTAATCATCACAATGAGTGTGAACTCTCTCTGCAGCCTGGGGCTTTAATCATGATGGTCGCTTCCCCAGTCTTTTGTCTCCGCAGGGAGTCCTGTTCTCTGTTTCATATCATCATCCTCAACCCAATGGTTGAAATCAGATCCTTCAAAAATTACAGTTTTGCACAGCGATCTGCACAAACCGTCACAACTCCCCCATACTACATCTCCCCTGGTGCCGACTGGCCATTTCTCTTTAATTAGAGTTTTCTAAAGACAATTAAAGATTAGGGCAATTCAATTAAAGTTCATTGAATATTTCAATAGAATAATTGAACTTTCTTTTCCTATTTTGCCCCCAAATAAAGGCTATATTATTCTTAAGAAACATGACTTTATTTCGCCATCTGCCCACAAGTTGTTGTGCTTCCCGCTGCAATAATGTGCTGAAAACCGATGTTTAAAGTAAACAAGGTATTCCAGCAATGAGCTCTTGCCTATGTACCCTCTAAATTACTAGAATTAATAACGCTATTGGGTATGGAAAGAAGGTGCTGCTCCACTTAAGGAGAGCCAATTTAATGTGTAAAGGCTACTGCTTAGAAGGTCACACCAAACTAATTACCAAAGACCAGATGCAGTCAGGATCTGAGACTCGGCTCAGTAGATACCTACCTACTGTACTGACTGATCAGTTGACCCATCTTTGCTTTGCTGTAATTCATTCGAGCGGATGTCACAATGTGGGCTGAAAAGAGGACACAGACTCTGTATAACTCAGCTTTCACACTAAATGGACTACCATGGCATGTGCAGGGGAAGGCTATTTGTCTCAAAGAAAGACACTGTTGTTGCACCACACCGACGTTAGGTTTGACGTTAGATATTCCCCATCAAGTCTTGTCTAATATTATAAAAATGTGCAATATTCATTCTCATAACAGGCTATTTAAAGAGGACTAAGTTACCAAAGGTCTGTCTCTGTTAGAACCTTTGATTTACATCCCATCTCTGGCTGGAATCATAATTGCAATGAACAGCACACCCGTACAGATAGTCTTCACGATGCGCGTTTGGTTATAAAAGCTGCTTCAGAATGGAATTGATTTTAATTGTCACGTCACAGGTATTGCAATTCGCTGCGTGTTAAAAAAATACAGGCGTTAACGTGGGCAATGGCACCGATAGGCCGAAAGAAGCACATGACTGAACACTTTCTATTCAAGCTGACGCAAATAAACGGCTATGGGATAAGAAGAAGGCAAGCAAAGAAATGGAGAGAGAAGAGCCAGAAAGTATGTATAATATGCTGCAAAAATAACTTTAATATGAAATCTGGCAGCTGGGTATAGTGCATTAAATGCAAAAGTAGCTTCAGGTCGTTTAATGCAGCATCCAGATTGTGCAGACCCCTGCAGTGTTTCACACAGGCAGACTGTAAAACAAGCTACCACCTCTGCAAAGCAGAAATCACAATATTAACTTGCGAGCACAAAGCCCACAGGAAGAACTCATCAACACTGATGAGGGGGGCCTACAGTACATATTTAGGGGTTTTTCAGTAGCTGTATTCATAGGCTATTCATGTTACGATCAAATATGCTTGCCAGCAAATTATCTAAAATCGGCTTTTACAGCCCGTAACGCACGGATTAAATGTCTGGCTGGATGTCAGGCTCATGTATGTTCCAACGGTGTTTCGCTTGGATGTTTTTGCACTTAGTGTTGAGCCTCCTCCATAAACTGTAATAAGGAAAAGACACTCTGTGTACAGTATCTTCTAGCTTCTTAAAACAACTTCACTAACCATTATTGCTTCAGTAAAACGTTTTCAGTAAAAAAAAATGAAAAGCATCGCCTCCATTAAAGCCGGGAAAGACGGCCTCCATCAAGGTATTTAAAGGTGCTCATTAAAGGATGACAGTTTAGCACTTAAAACAAGTAATAAGAGTGTCAACGAACAACAAAAAGGCATCCAAAGTGAAACTTCGTTCTTACCCTTTCTGCGTGTCATTAGTGACGCAGTGATGGTTGAACGTTCCAAACATTTGAACGCCCAGGATTCCGTACAGGAGGAGAAAAAACAGCAGGAAGATGGAGACGCTCCAGATCTGTTCCCCGGATCGCCTGCAGAAGCAGAGGAGCGGGAAAAAAAAGTTGAGCGAACCATCCATTAATCGTGATGGCTGTAGTGAGGAGGAATGCTCATGACAGTGTTTCTACTTCAGTATGTTGGTGATGCGGGAGCGAGGGAGCTCGAAGCGGAAGTAGATCCGGAAGGCCCGGATCATAATGAGCGCTCGGGGGATCCGCAACATTCCCCATGGAGACATCTGATCCACCAGCTCCGCTATTTCAAACACCTGACACAAAGAGGATTGGATCGTTAAGAAGTACAAAACCAAGCAACTACAACGCTGTCCAAGCACTTTGAGGGCTGAAATTAAAAAAAATGGCAACATAATAAAAAATATGTTGCAATATACCTGCAGCACCAGGGACACCCAGATGAAAAGCACCATGAATCCATCAAACATACACCAGCGATCTTTCACATAGGAGTTGTCCCCCTGTGCAGAGAGAAACAGAGGCATCAACATGAGGCCAAAAAACAAGAGAGGAACAGCAAGAGAAGAAAAGGAGCAAGAAATATGAATTAACATTGTGAGCGTCTTCATTATCCAAGGCCATAGATTCCACGAAAAGGTGGTGCATTCTAACAATTACAAGACAGCCTGAGATGTTTTAAGCATTTAAAACTGCTCGGATTCATAGCGCTGACAATGGTTCCAATATCAAGTACCATTCTGTCTTTGTGTCTGACCGCAATTTTTAAAACAGCCTTGTTTTCGACCTGAAAAGACAAAAGAATGATCAGGCCCCTGAAGTGTGAACAAACTGAAATGTCATGGGGCAAAAATGGGCATACTTAATTACCACAGAGAGAGAGAGAGAGAGAGAGAGAGAGAGAGAGAGAGAGAGAGAGA